GAGACCCAGCCAAGTATGGCAAATATGTTTCACTTCAAACTTCAACTATAGTTGCTTTGTAGCCTTCCAAAACAGCAAGACTGAGACTTTTGAGACATTCCATCCACCTCACCAGCAATGAGCATTCTAATCAATTAGTGATGTCCATCCAGAAGAAAGAAAGGGGAGCGGAGTCATTGTCAGGCACTTACCAAATAATTCTTTATTCCATTTTGTATGTTTTGCAGTTTAGTTCATCTCACCCACTATTGCTTTTTCTAAGCAACATTAACAGTAAGAATTTAATGTGAGAACAATATCAAGAGATCGAAATTTAATCAACAGACCTGACTCTCACCTCTTTTCTAAAAAATATTGAATGTGTTGAGTCCTATGCCATGACTTTGTTATAATTATGACCTTTAAGAAATTTAACTAAACAAACATGACTGTAGCACACACATCTCATCCAATGTGTGCTATCAAAACTTCGAATGTCCAAAATTCTCTTAGTTTAGATAAGAAGGTGATTTATCTTTGAACTGCTGAATAATGGGTGAACAAGGATGATTTTCTTTTCTGACATTTGCACTAACTAGTTTATGTTGAGTTTAATCTTATGCTGTTTAAGTGCACTCCATTTGGAGTTGGTGAGAGTCTATAAGCCCCTCTCCATATACATCTTAAAGCAGAAACTGTGACAGGTATGATTTAAACTATCTGTTCAGTCCTTTTTTTATCTGTAAGTTTATTCTTCTTTGATTATGTCACTGGCAATGTTCCATGCTTTGAAATGTTGGTTTTATTGTTGGATTTATTATTATTCAAATATGTCGAGGCCAACAGGTCATTGCCATTGAAAAGATATTTCATTATTCAGGAGGCTGAGACAGAAGGATCTTGAGTTCAAGGCCAGCCTGGGGGACATATCAAGACCCTGTCCAGAAGGAAGGAAGGAAGGAAAGGAGAGAGGGAGGGAGGGAGGGAGAGCTGGTTTGTTCTCATAGTTCCCAAGAAGAGGGGACAAACCCACACCACAGGGAGAAGTACCAGGTCAGTCAAAAGGTAAAATGAGGGTGGGGAAACCATGGGCATGAACCTTTGTCATGGCTTCTGCAGGAAGGGACAGGTGAGACGGGATGAGCAGATTTAGGATTGGCTACTTTGTATGATTTCAGTGAGATCTCAGGCATAGGGGCTGTCCCTAATTGTCTTGTACTTGGCCTGGGGATAGCTAGGGCAGGTAGCTGGTGGCCTTGAGTAAAAACCCAGTAGGGAAGGTAAGGGACATGTGGGTTCTGGGTTGGTTAGTTTACACAGGAAAGGCATGCTTGCAGAGGCCTGTAGGAAGGAGCTGACTAGCCCTGGGAGGGGCAGTCCTCTCCGGGGTCAGCAAGATCCCAGATGTCAAAGCTTCAGAAATAAAGCAAATAAAAAGATGTGGTTAATACATTCCATATGCCAAGCACTGTGCTGAAACCTAGAGAACAAGTTAATAAGACCAGGTTTCACCCTAGAAAAACCTATATTCTAGTAGGATAAAAACACATGAAGAGCTAATTTCAATATAATGTAGAAAGCGAAGCACCATGATTTTGGTAAAGAGAAGGCGTCAAATCCATGGTTATAGAAAATGTACTTGTTGCCTTAATCTTTCTGCCAGTTTTCAGGCATATTCCCAGAATTTTGTTGCGCTTACTATTTTGTTTTGTTTTTTCAGCCTTATTACTACTCAGTTTATAATTGGTCTTAAATTATCTTTTAAATAAAAGTTCCAAGGAATATTCTAGAAAAGTATTCTGATACATGCACATAGGATGTTAGGAAATGCAAAATAAGAAAGAATGTCATGGTCAAACAAGTTTAGTAAATGCTTGATTAGATAACATTAAACAAATTGCAAGCATCAAAAACTAAAAGGTAATATGCAGCGTTTTCCAAACCTATTAGATCTTAGATCCTTTTGCTGTTTTAACATGGAAAGTTTATTAAGACTAAAGTAATGCACTGCAGATAACAAATATTTTCAAAGTACCAACTGTGCGCAACACACCATGGATGCAATTTTTTTCAATCAAGAAGTAGTCAGGTGAGCATGGTGGCGCACAGGTATAACCCCAGGTCCTTGGGAGGCAGAAATAGAAGGATTGCAGTTTGAGGCCAGCCTGGACAAAAATGTTGGTGAGACTCTCTTGAAAAATATTAAAGGTGGTATACACCTTTAATCCTAGCTGTTCAGGAGGTGGAGGCAGAAGGATCACCACCCAAGGCATAGAAAGCTTGCCAAAGGCCCTGAGTTCAAACACCAGTATTGACAAAAAAAAAAAGAAAAAAAGAAAGAAAGAAAGAAAGTACTCAATTTTCTAGATTGGGAAGTAAAACAAATACATTAGGCATCAAATAATGATATAAAGAAACAATGCAGAGTGTATCACAAAGGGATCAATTGCCAAACAGGTGCTAAAATGTTTAAAGTAGAGATGGGAGATGGGAGAAATAAGAAAAAGAACACAACTTTGCCTGCACCTATGTGTAAGGGACCAGAGATATAAACATGGCAGTTGTGTTAAAGAGGTGACATCCTAGGTGGAGGGCCAGGGCTCTGTGATGCAGGTTACTGTGGCCCCGAGCAAATTAGATTAGCACTTAAACTTTATGTGCATGTGAAGCACCTAGGAGAGTGGAATAGGCTCAGTTCGTAGATCTGGGATGAGGGTGAGGATTCTGTATCTTTAACAAGCTCCTGCGATGCTTACACTGCTGATCTAAGGATCACATTTTGAGGAGCAAAAAGCTTTTCTGAAAGGTCTAGGTATTAATATTTGAGCCTTTGAGGACCAGAAAGTATGGTGCAGCAATTTCTCTACTGTCATTGCATTGTAAAACTAGTCATAGACAATGTGTAAATGAGTGAACGTGGTTATATTCCAAAAAAGCTTGATTTATTTGAACTTTATATGATTTTATGTAACTTTCAGTATCACAAAGTATTATGCTTTTCTTGACTTTTCCAACTATTTGGCAGCATAAAAATCATCCTTCCTTCACAATCATGTAAGAACAGGCTCATAGGCTATAAATTTGCTGAGTTGGAGGACAAGATACAGCACTCTGTATATCCACCACAGAAATTAATCTCTCTCCTAAACTTCCATTGTACTTTTTCACGCTTCGTTTTCCCTCTCATGGTAGGTTTATATCTTTTTTATGGAAAGTAAAAGTATGCTACTGGACAGAACAGACATGCAAAGTCCTCAATTAGTCTCAGTTTACCAGGCATTGTTCTTCCTGTCAACTGTATCTGTAAAACAACACCTTCCACAGAGGAAGTGTTTAGCAAATGTGGATTCAGTTGAAGTTAATCTGCTGAAGAAGCCTTTAGCTTGGCCTTAAGGAAGAGTGGTTCTTAACTGGGCTTAATGAAGAAGGAAAGAATTCCAAGGAGGAGAAAGTCTGGGCAAAAACAAGTAGACAAGTAACCGTTAAGAGCTATGTTAGGAACAATAAGCCCCTGGAAAGATTTGACAGAAACCAAAGATTAGAGAATAAAATTAAGGCCAAGATATGTGAAAGGCCTCCATGACAGATCTGCGGTTTAAGGAACGATGTGTACAGAGAGGAGTTACAAGAGCGTTTAATGTGATGACAGAATATAGAATTTATTGTTTGCTGGAGGTGGAGAGATCAATTCAAACTAATGCCACAGTTAAGGCTGATGGGTGAGGAGCTTGACAATGACTTTGGAAAGAGAACAAAGGACAGGGAAGAGGGCGCCAGACTTGATGGCTCTCCAAGATTTAAAGAAAACCACAATGCGTCCCAGAATTAAGAAATACTGCCCTTAGTTGTCCCCCAAATAATATGGGTGGCATTGCATAGAATGCTCAAGTTGGCTGTTTATGTTCTTTAATTCTCAGTCATATCTGTTCTTTTCTGAGTATCCATATTTAATTTTAGCCCAACTTCTGGTGCTTATATTCTGAGTATTAGCAAGCTCATTTGCTTTATTAACTTTATTTTCAGATAAATATGGACAAATACTCATGCTAGTCTAAACAAAGAAAAAAATATTCTTCAGTGTCATATTTTCACAGAAAGATGCTAGGGCCAAAGGATTTTATAGAAGATTTGATCAGCGAAAATCTCTTAGTGCTAATTTAGAGGTGAATGGATAATATAGTTCCAGACACTTCAATCCTGTTAGTTGTAAGTGGCACATTCTGCATATTTCTTTTGAAATAAGTCACATGTGGAGTCTTGGGCAAAAGCTTTTTTTTTCTTTCATGTAAAGGCAATCAAATACTGTTGAGAGTCTGAGGTGTTGGGGGAATAGAAGAGGGAGTTTGAGAAGGAACCTGTGTTAAAACACTCTGGCAGCCTGCAGCCTCCCACCCAAGGTCCTGGCTGTTTGGGAAAGGAAAAGAGCTGACCAGCTAGAGTGAAATACAGCATAACTGCTCCATCTCTCCGTCTGCTAGAAAGTTTTGTAAATATGAGAAATGTGGAAGGCATTAAATCTGTTACTGTTCAGTTGATCAGAAGTCTTAGGGTCAAGAAAAATATTGCTGCCTAGAAATTTCTTTAACACCATAATAAGTCTTGTTTAACATATTAGATATTTAGAACATAGGTTTACATTACTTTTTCTCTTTAGATAAGAATAAAAGATAAAATTGTAATAAATGTAGGAGCCATTTATTATAAAACACTTTATAAGACACTTTAATTTTTGGTTTCTTTTAATTTTTTAACCAAAATGTTCTTTCCAAGTTTGACAATGTCCCTATTTCAAGGTCGATAAAATGTGTGAGATGATTTACAAAGAAAACTTATGGGGAATTGTCTAGTCATTAATTTCACAGTCTAAAATGTAGAATTTCCATGAGTAATATTGACACAGACCTTTAATCAAGCAAGCTTCATATTACATGGCATCCAGCCTTTCATTTCTGCTTTATTATTTGAAGCCTCTCCGTTTCCTCTCTGACTCTCTTGTCCTTTGACCTCCATTTGGCCTGCAGATGGTTCTGTGAAGGGAAGGAGCTGCACAACACTCCTGACATACAGATCCACTCTGAAGGTGAGGACCTCCATACTCTGGTCATCGCAGAGGCCTTTGAGGACGACACAGGTCGCTATACCTGTCTGGCTACGAACCCAAGTGGCTCAGACTCAACATCTGCAGAGGTGTTCATTGAAGGTAAGGAGGGGTGTGTGGAAAAGAAGTGTGAATGGATTCACAACTCAAGTGTCCTTGCAGGACAGGCTTGTGTGATGCATTTCCGATGCAAGCAGCGCAATAGTGTTGTGATTTAAACCTCATTTCTCCTGAACAACCCTACAAATAAACTGAATGATTCTGACACTTAAGTGCACATCAACTGTGTCTAATGTCAACATTCATTCTTTTTCATTTAAAAATGTTTAGGCTATGCTAACTTGAATTGATTTAAAGTACAAGGAATCCAACTTGTTTTTTTTTTTTCCTTCTCAAGTAAATGAAGTATGGGAACATAGTTGAATACCGTACCAACAAAGTTAAACTATAAGTGATTTAGGAAATTGTTCACAGGAATTTTAAGTGATAGAATATTTTTAAGTGTTCTCATTTTCACTAAATTTTAGAACTGTGCCTCTTTTGTTGAGACTCCATTATTCCTGCTAGCTAAATGCACTATGAACTTACACTCACCACATGAAGACAGTTTCTAGAGTCAATGCTGCATTAAAGAGCTGTAGACAGGCACTATAATATTTCTAACTTTTCCTAAGACTCAGCCTCTAGAAAACTGGACAAGTTGATATCAAAGTATCATAGTTTATGATATTATCCTAGTTAAAATAGTTGGAAGTGTTTTAAGCCCCACAGTGGTCATACTACCCTTAAATCCATAACTTAGTAAATACCCCATTAATCAATTGCTTTTCAAAATATTAGTTAAAAGTAGAAAGAACTTTAAAACCCTTGAGGCCTTCATTTTTTAACACTGTTAAATATCACCAAATTTGTATTATTTAAAGCAGAAGAAAGCAAGATTTATCATTTATAGCTTCTTTGAGAACTGACAACTAATTAGTGTTAAAGTAACTATATCCTGTCAACTTACATTTATGAAGACCTTACAAAGTGTCACACCTGCCAAGTAAGTACAGTTAATATACAGTCTCTGTGTATCAAGGAGTTCCCCAATCGAACAACTGGAGTAGACACATTACAAAAAAAAAAGCAGAATATAAAAATGATAAGTCATGTTAATAAGTAATTTTGAGAAATATAAAGTATCATGAAAACACAAATGAACTTGAGAAGTTAACTACAAGGTCAGTAGTACCTACCTTCATATAATAAAAGAAGATATTTCTTTGCTTGAAACGAGTTTCAGTTTCTAACTCTTGTGGACCCCAAATACTGACAGCACTGATATTACTGTCAGTCATATTAATTTTATTTTTTTAATCATATTAAGCTCTTCTATGTAAAAGCATCAGAACTGCCAATCTTCTTCTGCCTTTGAAATCAGCTGGATGAACTACTCAATTTGGGAACAAGACACTTCTAGTTCTGGATGCCATGAATATTTCATGCTCAAGACATCAACCAAGATGGTGGGGTTTTTTCCCTGTTCAGTTTTCCTCCTGATGCACTAAACCCAGTAAGGCAGCCTATCAGGCATCAGGTATTTGTGGCTTTATATAGATTGTATGTGATTTTAGATAAACTGAAGGGAAGATAAAGGAGCTGGGAATAGCAAGAATAAAGAGACATTAATATTTACCTTCCTAAGACTAACAGCACATCAGAAAACTCGTTGACATGTAAAATATAATAACCTTTTTTAATGAGAAATATTCATGTGCTTTTATCCCTAATGAAAATACCATGAAATGAGAGAGAACTTCAGATACATTCTTAGGCTAGCATTATCACTGAAAATAAGAAATTTTTATATTTAGTAATTCCAGCACTAAATCAGATTCAGATATATCACTGTTGAGTTCCTTCCTAAAACACATTGATATGCTATATCTGTATAGAGTCAGTGAGATCTATCAGAAGATAGGAAACTTCCTATGGAATTTTAAATCTCAGCAAAATCTCTCTACCAACCTACTAGTTGGAAACTATCTAAATTCCACTGTCTCATGCATTAAATTTTAGAATGATATGAAAGAAATTATAGCATAAGAACAGTAGCTAGCAATCATTTAGTGTTAACTAGGAGCCAGACCCTGTTCTTCATTTTTACATGGATTACCTCATTTGATCCTTGAGCAAATCTCCTGGTTATATAGCTGAGGAAACTGAACTTTATGAGGCTAAGTAATGATCAAGATGACAGGCACGTGTTTGTGTGAGGTGGGGGTGGGGGGGATGGGGAGCCCGGGGAGGGGGCAGGGAGCCTGAGCACACACACACACACACACACACACACACACACACACACACAAACAAGAGTCAATGATTCAAATCCAGGCAGTCTAACTCCTGTATCTGCCCTCTTCACTGCTACAGAATAAAATGCAAAGGAACACATCACGTTAGTGGGGCCACTATGACCCTCCCCTCACTCTGGTTTCAGAATCTATGCTCTGAGTGCAGTATTTTTCAAAGCACACAGTTGAGCACTTTTTGCCCCTCCTTGAGTGTACACTGGGTGAGTTCTGTGAAGCAGGCAGTGGTTCAGACACGGGGGACACACACATGATGAGGGAACAAGATAGGTGCTGACACCGCAGAGTGAGAATGAGCGAGCGAACTCCTGAATACTTCCAAACACTGGCAAGCCTGTGATGGAAGTGAATGTGGCTGATGGGATGGGGTGTTCAGGAAGGAACCTCTGAAGAGAGGACATTTGACCTAAGACCAGAACTCAGAGAAGCCTGTAAGGAAAACTGGGAAAAGGGTGCTCCAGCCAGAGGGAGCAAATGCAAAGGCCTTGGGTGGACTGAAACATCATCAGCCAGGATTCTGGATCAAGCTGCAAATCATGGAGGGTTTATACTAAAAAAGTCACATTATTTGACATGTATATATATGTCATGTATACATCATATCTACATTATATATAAATTATGTATACATTACATATACTGGGAGATAAACAGATAGATGATATATATAGACAGAAACAGAGACAGACGGACACAGAGGGAGAGATAGACATAGACACGGACACAGATAGGAATGGAACCCAGTGTTGCTAGGCAAGTGTTCTACCACTCCTACATCCCCAGCAGTTCTGACTTATGTTTTTAACCTGTTGTTTTGGCTTTATAATCAGGGAGACCAGTCAGAAGTCTTTTGCAACAGGACAGAAAAGAAATTATGGTGCTCCAAGAGGATATGGTGTAACTGGGAGAGATATTCAGATTCAAATTAGAGTGCAAAGGTAGAGTCCAGAAGCTCTGAAGTGGGGCAGATGTGTGGGTGAAGGGACTGAAGGAATAAGATAAACTACTCACCTGAATTTCAGCTCTACCATCTGTCAACTAGGTAGAAAGAGGAGATGGGGAAGAGAGAAGGGCCCAAGTCTGAAATATTCCATGTTGGGGTTCCAGAGGAGGAATCACCAGCAAAGGAAAGTAAGGAGGAAGAGCCCTTTAGGAGGGAAGCAGGCAGAGTGGTGTGGGGGAGGGGAGGGAAATTGTTTCAGGATAGGGGAGCTGGCTGTGTCCATCCTGCTGAGAAGTTAGTGAGATGAGACAAGAAGGAAATCAATGGATTTAGCAACTGTGGATGCTGTTGATGATCTTAGCAAGAGGGATTTGTGGATTCAAGAAAGGACCAAGGATTAAATGGAATGAGTTGAGAAGAGCTTGTGAAATAGAGAAGTAGCAGGTATTAGATACTCTTTGGGGAAGGCTTGATTAGCTACCAGCAAAGATATGGGCTAGATTTAGAAAAGAGTATAAAGTCATGAAAAATGGTTTTTGTGGTTTGTTTTCAGGCAGGAGTTACTAGCATATTTTTATATGCTGATGAAAATAGTGCAAAAGAGAAAAACAGATTTTGCAAGAGGGAGGGATAATAAAGTATATCGTCTTTGAGAAGAGAAAAGGGAAGGGACACAAGGTGGAGAGGGTGCCCTCAGGGGCTAGATGGCAGAGACACTCTCAAGAATTTCACAGAGTAAATAGCAAAGGTAAACATCAACATGCAAAATAAATATAGGCATCTCAACTTTCCATCAGGGCCTCCTCCTGTAATTGTAAAATGATTCTACAAAGCATTATAGCTATAAGAGTGTGGTAGATGGCCCTGAAATGTGGGATGAAGGAAGCTGGACTGAGTCAGATCTTGTGGTAAGGGAGGGTGTAGATCTGGAGGAGAGCAGAGCAAAGCAGCATAAAACTGTGGGGGACTCAGCAAAAATGCACAAGCATTCAGGGTGGCAGATCCTGCTCTTGTGGGTTCTCAGTGCCATGAACGCTTAGATAAAATGAGCACCCCTGTAAGTGACATTTGTCAACATGCTGTGATGTTGTGGGGTAATCACTCCTGCTGATCCCAGAAACGTACATAAAGCCCTAGACTTCAGGGCCACCACAATGCCCCTGATATTTGGTGTCAGATATCTAAACATGGATCCCTTCTGCTGAATTCTGAAAACTTGTGAAGAGAATCTGAATGAGTCTGAGCACAGCTTAGGCCATTCTTCACGCTATTTATGCTAAAGTACTTTTCATAATATTTTATGAAGAGCTTAGTTTCTTGCTCTGTGACCTTGAACAGTTTATTCAATGCCCCTGTGCTTCGGTTTCTTCATTTATGCAATGGAGAAAATTAGAATGTTGTCAGGACTGAATGAGTCAATGAGTTAACTGAATGAGTTAACTCATTCAGTGATGTCTGGCACAGGGGGTAAACTGTTAAGATTACTACAACAACAGCTCATTTTCATTTTAGAAATCTAAGGTAGATTTTTAAAAAAAGGTGTAAAAGTCTTTATGACCTCACTGCCCCTTGAATCACTCTTTCCTTTCCTCCTTCTTCCTTCCTTCCCCACTTACTTCCTCCCTCCATCCTTCCCTTTTCCTCCCCACCCTCCACCCCTTTGCTTTCTTTCTATACTGGAATCATGCTTTGCATGTACTATACTACTGAGCTACACCCCAGTCCAAGGGTCGATAACTGATCTTTCTAATCTTTTTCTATATGAGTATATATTTTACTTTACATATGGGTTTGAACCCTGTTTTGGGGGAGGTTTTTTATTTAACCTATTCTTTTACAAACATCTACTCCTGTCATAACATTCCTTTTGACTGACCAGCAGGTGCAGAACAGATGACTAAAGGGAGGGCCAGAACACAGAATGGGAGAGGGAGGAAGAATTGCCCTGAGGGGAAGGGAGAAAAGGGAACTTGCTGGCAAGGACAGGAGGATTTGATCTGCCACCATCTGCAAGAGCTGTTCTGCTCTGACACCTGAGACAGAAGGTGACATTGAGATTTCACAAGGGCTGGACAGGTGTGGACACAAACCTTTATATCCTTTACCTTTCTTTCTCTGAAAATCAACTGGAAAAAGGTAGCAAGAATGACATCTTTTTGTTTTGTTTTGTTTTGTTTTGTTTTTGCATAGCTGGTGATCAAACCCTAGACCTTCGATATGTTAGGCAAGCACTCTGGCTGAGCTACATCCTCAGCCCAAGAATGACTTTTTAAAAAGAGGTCATCAGAGGAGTTTTTTGTTTCTGTTTTCTCTTACTTTTTAAATGTTTGGAATCAGGTAGAAAAATAGCAGCTTCTCTCCCCAGTTTCTGGTCACTTGGAGAGTGTCTGGATAACTTCCATAGACTTCTCCACCCCTCTCCTCTTAAACACTGTGTGATTCCAGTTAAATTGGTCTCTCAAGTTATCTATGCCCATTCTGGGGTTTTCCTGGCTTAGCTCCCCCTACTTACTTTGCTATCAGTTAAAATTTCCTCTTCCTCCACAACCTGTTTTTGACTGTTTGTTGTTTGTATTACTCTGTGCTTTCCCATTCCCCTGGTTCATCCTACAGATAATTTCCATCACTGCTCTCAATTCCCAAGCAAAAAACTCCAGACACGTCAGCCCCAATGTTCCAGACCTGGCCTGTGTATCTAGTCAAGCCTTCCTTAGCACACTGTTCCTCTCTACTTGCAGTCTGCTCCTTGTCCCCAAGCAACCTTTGCAGATCCATAGTTCCATGTATTCATTCCAGCAGAAGCTAAAGACCAGCCCTGAACAAGCCCCAAGCTATGTGCTATGATGAATACAGACATGAATGTCACAGAGGGCAGAGAAAGTCATTGACAATGAGTTCAAAACACATGAGTGCAATTCCTATCACTACAGCTTTCTAGTTATATAAGTGCATATAAATTACCTAACCTCTTAGTTCCTCAGTTTTTCTATATGTAAATTGGACCTAATTCACTTCTTAGTGAGGTTCAATATTATAATAATCAAATGATAGCAGGCTGCCAGGCAAATAGTAAGTATCTCCAAATTGGTAGTTCCCTTCCTCACCCTACCTCAATTCTCCGAGAACTAATAATTTTCAAGCAGGCATAATAAGTGACATGTGTGTGGAGACAAGAACACTGGGGGCTCAGAGAAGATAGAGCACAGAAAAATGACTGAGCTGATTTTAAAAGATAGAGTATCAAGAAAAGACTGGGTAGGCCTAAAAGTCCATTGTGGTAGTCCAGGAGCCAGGTGAAGAAAGCCCGCACTGGGTGGTAGTTACAGAAATAAGTAGGAAGGACAGAGCAAACATTCCAGCAGAGTTGTTTAAGCATGACTGTTTTCAACATCAACAAAAGCCTGGAGAAACATACTGCAGTAGAGTCATGGGAAAGAGTTCCAGGAGGCCATGGAAGAAAATTAAGTGAATGGTACACAAAATGTAGATAGGCAAAAGTAACTGATTGCACGGAATATGTAGAGTATGAATCTATTCAAATAAATATGTACAGTATATATTAAACTTACTAAAAAATGTACACCAAACATGCCAAGTGGTATTGAGAAAGATACTTACTGATTTACCTATTTTATTGGGTAATTCAGTGCTGTTTAGTGATTTTTCTGTAATTATGAATTTTATAAGATAATTTAAATAACACAAATGAACTGTACTTTATGAAAGATGCATCAAGAGTGTACTTTTGACCACTTCAATTACCCTAAATCCATCACTTAAAATCTCTTCACACAAAATATGTAAATGTTAAAATCTTTTCAGTTTACCTTTAGACTAAATATCTGACGTGACCCTTATTTCAGGAAGAGTAATGATATAAATGAATTTGTGTGGGCATAGCCCTCTTATTCAAGAATGAAGCTACCATTATACTCAAATTTACCCAATAGTCAGAAAGTATCTTCTGATTACTTAGTAATAAAGGCATTAGTAGCCCACACCATGTGATCTCTGAGGGTTAAATTTAAAACCATGGGTGTTTTTCTGGACACTCATTTGTTTCATAGTTTTTCAGACATGTTAAAGGATGGTTGAGATGTTCAAAGTGATAAAAATGAAACTAATAATAAATCTGGCATTAAAAGCCTATTGCCTTAAAGAAAGCTTTTTGTACTAATTCTTTTTAAAAAACAATCTTCTGAAGCAGTACAATAGAAATGATTTGAGCCTGAATTATTCTCTATTTTGTTGTGTATTTGGGTCAAAAGACTTCATATGTTACTGTTTTAAAATTGAGGCTCATTACTCTTTGAAATTATTATAGATCTCACTGACATCTTAACCTTTTCATTATTTTTAATTCTTTCCCAGGAGCCAGTTCAACAGATTCTGACAGTGAAAGTTTAGCTTTCAAATCAAAACCTGGAGCCATGCCACAGTAAGTGCCTCTGATCCCTTCCTTATCTGTGTAACAAAGAAAGGCTACAAAATCTTTAAGGGGTAAAGCCAAACATTCAGTGCTTGGACAGGAAAGGCCAATTAATGTCTCTTAGAGATCAAATCTTTGAAATTGGGACAAATTTGTAACTCACAAATTTGAACCCTGAAGTCTGTACTTCATCATCAGTATGTTAAATCCAAACATAAACAATGTTAGTTTCAAAGACAACCAGTGAACTGATTTTAAATATATGAAAAGAGAAGTCACTTTGAGAGAAAAATCAGTTAAATCACTGCTAAGATGTAAATGCAGACTAAACATAACTTATTAGGTAAGACATGGCCTTTCATTTGGATAAAACCGATTGCTGATTAGATCTTATACCTGAAAAATCACAAAATTTAGTTATTTCTATAATAACAGGTAGATTATTAATAAAATATTACTATCCTCATTATTTTGCAAAAATAAAATAAAATCTGCTAGAATTTGGTGGTAAACTCCAATACTGAGATATGCTAACAGTTGTCTTTATTTGCTATTCTAACTACCCTGAAATGATCATTACACATGCATACATGTATTGAATTACCACATACATGTATGCATATTTATGAGAAACATAAATTAAAATAAAATATAAAATTAATAAAAAGCAATTATATCCATTCAGCATCAAATAATCATAGATGCCAAAGGAACCTTATTTGACCATATGTTTCATCACTCCTGATTTCAAATGAAAGTTCCAGTTCATAGACAATGATGCACACCTGTAATCCCAGCACTAGCTGAGGAAGGAGAGTGAGGAAGGAAGATTGTAAGAGTTCAAGTTTGGGCTACATAGTGAGACTTTGTCTCAAAAAAAAAGTTTGAATTCATGAAGTCACATGACTTGCTTGAGATTATTACACAGTGAGCTACTTGGCAGCAATGGGTTTAGGAATCCACTCCTCTTAATCTTTCCCTTACACCTCACTAACATCTGTGCACTAAGACAAAAATTCCGAGATACTCTCACCAAAATTAGAAGCCAGTACAAGAACAACTGTTAGACCTAAAATAGACAACTAAAACTATGAGTTAAATATAGGCCCCTAACTCTAACCCTAAAGATTTCAAATATCTGCCCACTGATAAACATTGGACCTCTTCCAAGTGTTTAATTTTCTCTTAGCATTTGCAAGGTTAATACCTTAGATTCTTAAACAACACGAGTTACTTCTAGCTAGTTTCTTTTTATTTTGCTATATGTCTATGGTTCATTCTATGCATATGCTGACCACAGTTATTCTAGCTGTAGGTTTTTATGAGTTTCAATTTCTTAAACAGTTGAAGTGAATGAATATACAAAATGACACCTAAAAGAATAGCTCCTGCTAAAAAAGAATTCTAACCAAACATTTGCTTTCCTATTCTCCAGAGCTCAAAAGAAAACAACTTCTGTTTCCTTGACAATAGGATCATCATCTCCAAAGACAGGAGTGACCACGGCTGTGATTCAGCCATTATCTGTTCCTACTCAACAGGTAATTGTACCTCAGACCAGAGCCCATAGGAATTGAATATATTGGCAAGCTGCTCCTTTGAAGAATATAATGTTGATTCTAAATAGCATGTCCAGGAGAAAAGAAAATGGTAGGTAACATTCTGCCTTTTATACCATTAAGAATAATCTTTATGCCAGACTAGCTAGGATTACTCCTCCTAGCTACTTGGGAGGCTGAGATCAGGAGAATCAAGGTTAGAGGCCAGTCTGGGCAAATAGTTTAGAGACCCCATCTCCAAAATAACCAGAGCAAAAGAGATTAGAAGTGTGGCTCAAACAATACAGCATCTGCTTTGCAATCACCAAAGTCTTGATTTCAAACCCAAGTCTCAAAGGGTGAAAGAGCGTGAATGTGGTGGAAATATGTGTTCATGTATGAAAATGGAAAAGTGAGAGCTTTTGAAACTATTCTAAGAAGGGGGTAGGAGGACAAAGGAAAATAATGGAGGAGGTAAACTTAACTAAGCTATATTGTAAGGACTTTCATAAATGTCACAATGTACCCCTAATACAGTAACATGATAATCAAAAAAAGTCAAATCCCAGTCACTCCAAAAAAAAACAGAATAGTCTTTAATCAAAGACACACCACCAATTAGTCAATTAGCCAACATATGCATTTTCATTGGGAACTTTCTGATAAAAGCAATGTCTGAGTTATCTCTAACTATTTGATCATTCCCCTACATAAATCCTGTCTTCCACTTAACCAATTTCATTACCTCATTTAACTGAAAAGAAAAGTCCATTGTTGAAGGGGGTAATCTTGTTAAAGCAAATATATGCATGTCTGAAATACCAAGGCAAAACCTTGATCAATATACTTTAAAAAAAAAAAAAATCAAAGACAGAAAGATAAAGCAAGTCCTGTCTGGGGGTTGGTACCAGTGGGAATGAGGAAGGCATAAAGAAAGGATGAAGGAGGGCAAATACGGTGGATATATTTTGTATTCATGTATGAAAATAGAACAGTGAACCCTGTTGAAATTATTCTAAGAAGAGGGGTGGAAGGGAGGAGGGAGAACATGGAGAGAGTGAATTTAAGATATATTGCAAGCATGTATGTAAGTATCAAAATGTATCCTCACTGAACACTATTATATGCTAATTAAAAAGTTCACATACCAATAGAAAACTTGCTCATCTCTAAAAACCACACAGATAACAAGAGAAAACAATTCTAATTCCTTGACTTGACTGTACTTTTTACCTGCTTTTATTTCATTGTATGACTGCCTTTATGCAAGAAGAACAATACAACTACTGGAAAGTACTTTCCGTGAGTTTACTTTGCAAAGAACAACATGACAGTTTTTAAAGTAAAAAGGCAATGATTCTAAAACATGTCTTGTCTGGGAAAGGGTATGAATGGGATGGGAGAAGGTAAATGGAGAGAGTGAAGGAGGGTAAATATGGTGATGTACTTTGTACATGTATATGAAAATAGAACAGTGAAAACCAATGTGAGGAATCTCCCTGTATAGCTATCCTTATCTCAACTAGCAAAAACCCTTGGTCCTTCCTATTATTGCTTATACTCTCTCTTCAACAAAACTAGACATAAGGGCAAAACAGTTTCTGCTCAGAAGTGAGGGGGTAGAGGGGGAGAGGAAGGCAGGGGGGGAAAGGAGGGGGAGGAGGAAGGGGGGAGAAATGACCCAAACATGGTGTGCACATATGAATAAAAGAAATAAAATTTTAAAATAAATAAATAAATATTTACAAGCTTTACCCCCTCAATAGGAAAAATCTAAGGAAACAAAGTAAATGCAGCTCAAATAGAAAGAAAAAACAAAACTGATGAAATTGTTCTAAAAAGGGAGAGGGGGGGATGAAAGAGAATGATGGAAGGGGTGAATCTCTTCAACATATATTGTAATCACATATGTAAATGTCACAATGAATGCCCCTGCATAACCAATATGTGCTAATAAAATATGCATACAAAATCTATAATGAATATATTTAATTAACACTCATAGATGGCTTTCTTCCATACTTTTAAAATGTAAATCTCTTCCTAATTAAGAAACATGTCTTATGCCTGTCACTGTGCCTTCCATGAGCCCTTGTTATCTATTGAGCACTCACGGGAGTTTCTGTAACTGGTATGTGACCATGCTCTGCAATATGTGAAAGATGTGAACAGTAAAGACATTTGAGCTCATAAACTTGAAAAGAATCAACCAGTGTAAGATAAGCAGAGATGGACTATGTAGTAGACATTTCCTTGAAACCCCTAAACCACAGTGAAATGTAGCAATACCTCTGATTAAACCCTTGAATTTTTTTAAGGGTTTGATGTTTAAATAGTGACAAGTATTTATTTGAATGCTAAGCTCAGTGTTAGACATTTCATAACAGGAAAAAAAAAAGTCAAAGTCATAGCTCCATTTCCAGTTTCTGAACTAGTCTGAGAAACAGGAAATATACACCTGTGATACTTCTTGATTAGGGCAGAAATTATTAAGATGTAGCACAGAAGCCTAAGAACAGAAAGACACACATTCATTTATACATAAAAATACTATAAATATATGGAGAATACATTCTCAAATGGCTGTAATTGTATAGGATCCCTTAATGGAAGGAAATGTATCCCACTTTTATAGATGGGTGAATGAAGCACTCAGGGAAACTCCATCACTTATTTGTTACAAGCAATGAGACAGGATGTTAAGCACTCTGGGACCAGACTGCCTGGGTTCGTATCCCAGCTCTACCACTTACTAAGGGACCTTGAGGAAATAATGTAACCCCTCTGTGCCCAGTTTCTTCATCTTTGAAATAGAGTTCCTAATGCCACCCATCTAACGGGGTTGTGGTGAACCTCAGTGAATCATCTTCACATGACACTTAAAACAATGCGAATACTGTAGAAGTGTTCATATAGTCATTGGACTCGATGCAGCCCTCCTGAATCACAAGCCAGTGAAAAGTCTTTCAGGGATAATAAGTCAGGTCCATTTTTGTCTTAGCATCTCTTCAAATCTGCCAACATTTTCCTGAAAACCTGTGACAAATTTAGACAAATTAGTATCAGATAGTTTTAGGTTAAGAACCTAACAATCACTGACATAAATGAATAAATCCAGATTATTTGGAAATAAATGTTTGTGCGCAAAAAATAGTTTCCATTCACTATATTGAAATCCTTATCTTTCCTCAGAGACGAATGCTATTCAATGTTTTAGCACCTTTGTTTTTTGAGCATCATTTTTTCCCTTATTTTCTATAACCCCTTTACTGAAAGAATATAAGAAAAAATTAGATAGGTAGATGGTTTGAGAATTTACTTTGCCTTCCACTGCCACTCACTTATTCTTTTGATTCAACAAATCCAGACTGTATTTTAAAATAAAATATAATGTCTGTAAGAACTTCTCAAGAGACCTCTGTGAAGTCCCACACACAGAAATCCATTTGGTAATAGCATTTAAAAGCTCACCGATCCCCAGGGAACTTTTACCTTGAATATCCTTTTGCACAGAGAGAAGTAGCAGATGTGAAATGAGGAAGCAGAACAATGTCTGCACTATAAGAGTAGAACAGAGAGTGATGTATGACGATACTTTCATTCTCTCGTTTCATTCAAGTGGAGCTATCCCAATAATGAAAGGATTCTTTAGCCCATCTTTACAGTGATTTATATATTTAGAATCTGATCCATGTGTCTCTGCTCTTTCAGGCTCACAGTCCGACTTCATATCTCTGCCAACCTGATGGAACCACCACAGCCTGCTTTCCTCCTGTTTTTACAAAGGTCTGACATCTGGAAGTCTCATTCTCCATGTTTGCTTTGGTCCTTAAATTTCATTCACATGTGGCTTCATGTAGCAGCCTTTAAAAACAAAATGAACAGATCAGTAGGCTGATTATCGTGGTTACCTTTGGGGGAAAATAGATATTTACTATGTGACTATCATCTTGTGAAAGATCCAAGAGATGTGTATGTGTAAGCAGGAACCAAACAGAGCCAGATCTAATCTGGAGGGAAAGGCAGGACAAGCTGATATAAGGGGGGAAAAAAAAGACACAATGTGGTGTTAAAAATTTCCTTTTTATAACCCCCAAGGAAATCATTTGGGAGATCTAGCAAGTTTTATAAGCATTCAAAAACTATTGACTAATTTTCAGTTTGCTTTAAGTGATTTGCATTGCCAGACTGAATGACATCTATTTCATTGGTTGACTGCTCAAGTCAGAAATGGCTCCATGTTTTCTCCTTTTCTTTCTTTCTTTCTTTCTTTTTTGTAGAAAATTATGAAACTTTACTGAAAGATTTTTTTTATTTCTTTTATTCATATGCGCATACAATGTTTGGGTCATTTCTCCCCCATTCCCCCTGCCCCCTGCCTTCCTCCCCCACCCCCTCCTTCCCCCCTTACCCCCTCACTACCAGGCAGAAACTATTTTGCCTTTATCTCTAATTTAGTTGAAGAGAGAGTATAAGCAACAATAAGAAGGACCAAGGGTTTTTGCTAGTTGAGATAAGGATAGCTATACTGGGAGTTTACTCTCATTGCTTTCCTGTACATGTGTGTTACATATTTTTAAAGACCAAATAAATGGAGAGATACACAATTCTTAAGAACCCAAAGAATATAAAGTCATTACTCCCTGTTTATAGTAAGTGGAAACTTGCTAAAATCACAAGGTCATCATGTCTGTCTATTTGGTTAGTATAGAATTTAGCAATCTGATTCTAAAAGTTGTGCAGAAATAAAAATGGCTAAGAATAGCCAGGGCACTACTGAAGAAGAAAAAATAAAGTGGTGTTAGGGAAGGAGTGGGATTTGTCCTGTGAGATATCAAGATTTTCTACAAGTACAGTAATTATGACACAGATTAGGCTGAGCATCCCTAATCTGGAATATTTTAAAATCCAAAACTTTTAAAGTACCAATATGACATCAAAAATGAAAAATTCCACACTTGACATCATATTACAGGTTGAAATCAAAACATAGTTTACTAAAAATATTATATAAAATGACCCTCAAGTATTTATAAAACATTAGTGAAGTTTGGCTTGGGTCCCATCCCCAGGACAGCTCAGAATGTACATGCAAATATTCCAAGATCAAAAACACTCCCAAATTCAAAACACTTCTGATCTCAGGCATTTTGGATAAAGGATAGTCAACCTGCAGTATGGTACTGACCCAAGGCTCAACTAATTGCTCCATTATCGAATGGAGCCCATAAAATACTCCATACCTACAGGAATTTGCAGATCACTGGGGACAGAATGAATTCTTCCACAGAGGTGAAAAAAATTCAATTGGACTCCCATCTCACCTGTTTCACAAAAATCAGTTTCAAATAAACTAAAGACAAATATGAAAATAAATCTACAAAACTTCTGTGAGGTAGCAGAAGCAGCATTGTATCTTTGTATAGGGAATTTTTTTCCTCCTAAGCCAAAATGGATCCAAGGTTTATTAAAGGTTTTTCCATAAGCAGTGGTAGTGTTTCCAGTGGGCACCGAGAACAAATGATAACAGTTGACAGTAACTTTGAAACTCCCCTCCAGATAAGCTAACGACAACAACCACAAAGATCATGTAAAACTTGAACAAAATCTATAGGTCACTGTAATGGCCAATGAAGTCCTCCTTTGGTGCTTAGAACTAGCAGTGTACACACAGGAGCAGATGCTCCATGTTTAGTACGCAGCGTAAGAGTTTTTATAAGCATCTTCACAAGATCATCACCAGGAACTGACGTGGTGTGTCAGGACCCAACACACTTCTTGATTTAAACAAAGTCCATATTGGGTGCAGAAGAGAAAGAGGCAAGGATATGAGATTTCCCTTTCCTTCACCATAAGTTTCTCTTGCAGTGACCTAGCATGTGTAAATGTTACAGAATTCCTCCCGGACACCAAAAGGAATCCTCAGAATCTAGGCACAAAACCCTGTCTCCTCCTCTGTAACCCAGCCCCTGAGAATAGACATTTTCCCTTAACCCAAAAGAAAATCGTGGAGTATTCTATGTGCTCGCAACACTTTTAAAAAGGTTTTTTGTAAAAGTCTATTTTTATGTAGGTTGTTTTTTTAAGAAAAAAAAAAAGTCACTGGAATCACAGAGCATGCTTCCTATGCAGCTCCAGCCTTCCCTGTGCCGGATCTGGACTGCAACACATCTGTTTTCAACAGGGTTGCTCCCTTCCTTGTCTGCATCTGCTTTCCCCTTTTCCCCTTTGGGTAACTTCTGTCTCTGTTTAACAGAGTCCTTTGTAGGTCCTGCAGGTCTCCTTTGTTGCTGAAACTAACAAACTAACTGGTTTTGCCACCCTTAGCACCTTCTTTGACCTTTCTCTTAGCCATGGACAGTGGACAGTGGACAGCAGGTGGGTTTAGCCAATCTAAGAATGCTCTATTTCCTCACATTCCTCTGGGAAAAGTAAAAAAAAAAAACCTCCAGATTTCACAGCTGGACCAACACAAAGCCATTGCTTTTGCCTGTGGACCAAGTAAAGCAGTGGGCTTAGCTCTGGCAGAACTAGTACGGACTGTGTTGCTGTGGGTAATAGGGACACACCTGTAAAACAATGCCTACGTAGCCCCATTGTGTGTTTCTTCCCTTAAATCCCTTCAAGGAGTCAGAATGTCAGGTGGACTTGATGTATGACAAGAGATGCTCTTATGTGGATTATAAAACACCCAGGGTTCCTAGCTCCTATATTGAATGGACGAGCCATATTGCCAAGTACAACCTCTAAACGTTGACTCTAAGTGTTTCGAGGGCTTCGTGTTATGTTCTAGAATTTTCTCCTGACGGCCTACTGTGTTTATTCATGTTTTTGTTTTTGTTTAAATTTTGTTTTGTTTTTGCTTGTTTGTTTTGTTTTTTCCTACAGGAAGAGCCAAATTGTCCTAGAAAAACTATGGAATTTTGACTACTTTAGTTCCCTGGCATCTGTCCATTGCTTTCAACTCTGATTTTCCAACCCTGAAAAGAAATACATAATCTTAGGAGTAAATCACACTCTCCTCTGGTGCTCAAAAGCTTAAGCATGAAAAACATTTGGGTGCTATTTGTAATCTACCATGTATGGTTTCCTGGACATGACTGGAGACATTTTTAATAGATCAGCCCATTGAAGCTGGACCCCATAAGTGGCACTGTGCTTTGAGCCACTAAATTTGCTCTTCTTTAGTCCCAATCACAAAGTAAAAAATTTAATTTAAAATCAGAGATTTTCAACATTTAAAAGTAAGAACAGTGAAGGGATCCAGCCAGTGATTTATACTCTTACTTAATCTTTTCCTTAAAACAAAAAAAAGATGTTCTTATTAATAGCCAAAATTCTTACCAAATGTCAAATCAGAATTCCCATTGCACTTCTGTAATTCATCAGCCAACATCATAGACTTCTAGAATTTTCCAGTGCTTCAGCATACTTACTGCAGGCCATATGCAATAGCGTTTGGTTTTCCCATTTGCTCTAGGATTTGTGGTTCTCTGTTGCTCCCTCAGATCATTTAAAAAATAAAAACATAAAACACCATGACCAAAAGGTCTACCTTCCTAATGTGAATTTGTTTGCTTTTGTTTATATATAGCTTATTTACTTACTTATTGTGGTACTAGGGCTTGAATTCAGGGCCCACGCCTTGAGCTACTCCATCAGCCCTTTTTAGTGAAAGGTGTTTTGAGATAGGTCTCAAGAATTATTTGCCTGGTGCTGGCTTCAAACCTTGATCCTCCTTATCTCTGCCTCCCGAGTATCTAGGATTATAGGCGTGAGCCACCAGCGCCAAGCTGTAAGTTATTTTATCATAAGTGAATTACTTTAAGAGTTCTACCTCTTTGTATTAGATCTGCTACTCTTGTCACGAGTTTAAATAGTCAAAAAGGTTGAAGTCCCACTTGTAGTTAATCCTGGAGGAGGAAATTAGAGGACAACGTAAGGGAATTGTTAACATCCTGATTCATAATAACAAGCGCAAAAGCTTTGCCTCTGCGTCTATGAGGCCAAATTAATTTCTAATCTTTTGTATTGTAAAAATTTATTAGTCTGGAGTTGGAGCGGGATGAGGGGCAACAGGGCAGTGGCGAGGGAGGAGGAAATGAAGGTCAGTAAGGAAGAAGTACTGCATGTTTTATTACTTTACTTAGAATTTCATAATGAGAAAATAGCTAAACCCCTTAAGCTTAATAAACCTGACATAGGAAGCTCGTTGGGCTTAGGTGGTGGGGGAGGACCTGGAAAGGTTGGAGTATGTGAAAACAAATGCATGTCTTTTTTCTTGTCTTATCTGGTTTCTTAAGGAGTTTGGAGTGTAATTGGTTTAAGAAGCTTGCATTCCACCAGTTTATTCTTTTTTTTTTCATTTTTATTAGCATGTATTCATTGTACAAGGGGATTCATTGTGCTGATTCCCAATAGTTTTACATTGTACATTGGTAGATGGCCCCCACCCCACCCCCAGAGAACTCCCCCTCCAACCCGTTTAAAGCAATTGCAAGAGGTTTCATGTATTCATCTGTTTCAGCAACCATAATCTCTCACCTTCATCTTCTCTGTTAACCCTCCTCTCTCCCACAAGTACCCCTGCACACACTGCATCTATTTTACAGTCCTGTCTTTCATTTTCTGCTTACCATTAAAACGTACATAAAGAAAAGTAACAATTGGCACCATCGAATTCCATTAAATAAGAAAGGGTCAATGCAAATTTGTAAATAAGCCAAAAAGTTTACCAAAGTAAACCTTGCTGAGAAGGAGATTATGAAAAGTTTAAAGACATTTATCCTTACCTGAGTTTGTGGTAATTATTTTATGAATGCAAGTTCTGCAGAGGTTTTTGCTTTGCTTTGCTTTTTTTGTGTATAAGGTTTAGAATTTTTACTCTCTGTTGCGAAATCGCTTAAGAATGCACCGTCTGAGTTGGACCATTTTCCTTGAACTTTAGGAACTGCAAAACACAGCAGCATCCGAGGGCCAGGTGGTGGTCTTGGAGTGCCGGGTCCGAGGAGCACCTCCTCTGCAGGTCCAGTGGTTCCGGCAAGGAAGTGAAATCCAGGACTCTCCAGATTTCAGAATTCTACAGAAAAGTAAGGAGACGTGCCTGTACTCCCAAATCTGACCATTTTATTCTCTCTGGTTTCAGGAAAACCAGGAAGGACTCCATCTTGAGTTGATTTCTGTTTTCAAAGAGGGTGAAATTAGAAAATGTACAGTGTGTGAAGTCTAAGTAAATTTAAATGGTGGCCCCTTCAAAGAAAGTTACATATTCTTTCTTTAGGAAAAAACTGTACACATAATGTCTGTACCCAAAGTTGAGCAAATAATTTTAGAGGTTCACAAATCTATCCATGAGCTACATTTTTTTAAATTTCCAAGTGTAATGAATTTGAGATTCTGTTTTTATAGAAATATAAGTGGAACTGCTATCATTTTAACTCCCTCTCGTATTGTGGAGGTTGTCTATAACATTCCTGCAGACGTGTTCTAGACAAGGTAACAGGAAGGGAGAGGTAGATTTTTTATTATTATTGGAACCCTTTTCTAATACTTTGTTCTGATTTTTTTTTTTCTTATGTGGAAAACAGAACCTAGATCTACAGCTGAACCTGGTAAGAATTTTCTTCTTGGGGATAGAGGGAATGTATGCTTTGGGTTTCAATAGTTCTTTGTTTCTGTTTTAAAGATACATACCGAACAATATATTTTGCAATTCCCTGGAAATGTGAAACCCATTTAAAGACAATATTTTCTTTATCATGGTCCGTACACTGCATTTTACATCAATTTCTTTATTAGTAAAACATTAAGCACCATTCAGACAAGAAGGTCAAGGCCTTTTAAAATATATAGTTTTTTGTACTCCAAAAGCAAAGTATGCTAATGATGAAAAACTGTCCTCCTAAAATTCCAGTAGAAAAAAGCAATCTGTTGATACTTCCACTGACCTAAACCCACTAACAACTACACTGTGCGGTGTAGAATTGTGCCTCAAGTGAGAGTGGCTCAAAGATGTGAGCAGAGTCGACCCCCCAGGCATCTCTCATTTATGTGCCATGAGCCATAAACTTTTACTAGTCTACAAGCATGAAGAAAGTCATCTTGCCCTGGGATCACTCTTAATTACCAGGTCATCGTAGTGCTATGTGATCCAGAAGCACTGGGGCCAACTGTTCCCTTGCCCCCGGCCTCTCATGTGTTTATGACTCCTTGTGGACTAAAAAGATGTTTGTCCAGGTATTTCAGAGTATGTCCTCCTTGAGACTGTTTTCTCTTGTATTTTTCTCACCAACAAAGCCACAGTTTCGCTTATTTCTTAACAAAGATAGAAAAACAAGTCGTTTTCCTGTTTCTGCTGTTTGTGCTGCTGCTTCAGGGTCAAGCAGACCCTGTCAAACATGTCTTGGAAACCATGACCTTACCCTGACCCTTCCTTGGAAACTTCAAGGTTCTCTGTGGGCTCCTGCAGGTCCGAGTACTGTGGTTAGCTCTGCTCCTGTCACATCTGAGTGTCAGGGCTTTAAAAGCAGAGACTAAGCCTATTAGGAACCAAAGTTTAAGAGGTGCTTCTTAGCATGCTTTGGGAAAAACTGGGATTGATCTGCTGCCTCCTGCCTTACAAATAGAGCATGTCACCCCACTCAATGTGTCAGTCGCCACATCAAATACTGTAGTCACTTTCCAGACTGGAAATGTACCACTTCATAGTTAGTCTGTGGTATGTCTTTGTATAAAAGTGCACAATGCTCACTCCCTGATGCATGGAACCTCAAAGACTAAATCTACTACGTGAGCTAATGTGGAAATCCTATAGGAAGTAAGGGCACATCTTTAGCATTTACTGTTTCAAATAGTCATAGATAGGCAAGTAGACAGATAGATAGAAAAGTAGGACCCAAGCATCTTTTCACCTGCAAGAAATTATTGTGTGTAACATAGACAATTTAATGCTTTCTTTATAAGTAAGACTAAAATCTTGGGCCAAAAAATTTAAAAGCATTGCTATTGGATGAATTAAGGGTCCTTTTGATGGTGTGTTTTGTATTCTTGCCACATTTGTGGAATTCTTTTGTCATTGTGTTGATATCCATTGTCATCATCCACATAGGTGACAATGATTATCAAATGTCTCCCATAGCCTAGGTTGGAAAAACATTATCTAAATGTCATCTCGGAACTCAAAACACTGGTTAGAAACTTCCCAGTTTGTTTTTGAGGATGTGCCTGTTTGAACATTGGAAACACTCAGAATATACTAAGGACAAATAAATTTGGATGAGAAGGGAGAATGGAAACATTTCTTGCCCCCATCCCATCTCCTCCCCTGACCCTACATCCACTCCTACTGTTTCAGTTTTGGCTTGATGTCTTGCTTCTAAAATATAGTTTTGATCATAAATTATGTAATAAAATGAGTCCTAAGCAGCTTCCTGGTATGACCTGACATCTAGAATGTACTTAAACACCTTTGATTTAATTGGTAAAGTCATGGAGAAAGGCAAAATCTCCATGTCCTTGCATGTAGGAAAATTTTTCCTCGCCATATTCACTGAATTTTCTTATTTTTATTTTCCCTTTAGTTACAGCTAAAAGTATTTAAGAAACAAACTCTTCATTCCAACCACAATAGTAGCATTTGCTAAAAAAAAAAATATACGTGTGTGTGTGTGTGTGTGTTTGTGGGTGTGTGTCTTGGCAAAAGAAATATTTCAAGAAAATCTATCACTACAAGAAAAAAAGACAATCAGGAGCTATTAAAAACAAAACACAACAAATTTTCCCTGACCTCTGATAACTTCTCCGCAGTGATATTTACCATGACACTTCTAAAATCGGCTTTTCTCTTTTACAGTAAGGCATTGACATGCTGTGCCTCAGGAAATCTATAATTTGCATGTACTGTTAAATAAAGTCCATGGTCACATTTTTTAAACAAAAAATTTAAACTCCAGTGATTACTCATGTGAGTAAAACCTTTAGAACAAGCAATTTTTTTGTTTTTTTTTTTATATGTGCAATTTTTAAAGCATATTTGTATTTAAACAAGTGCTTTAAAAAACTAGGTATGATTCTTCTATTAATTGCCAAATATTTGCCTTACATGACCCTGAAGTTTCCATTGTAAAGAGAAAAAAGATGAAAAAGATTACATATATATAATATATATATGAAAGAGACTGTTTGCTTGCCTTAGTGACCTGATCATGGACCACTGACAGACTCAACCACATACAGCTTCTTTGATAGCTGCTGTTTAGCCACTGTTAAGTACAAAGGAGACATGGCTATGATACATCTGAAGAACAAGATAAATTTTATAGGACTGTGTCAGTGATGTTTTCCAAATGCTAAAATAGAAATAGTCTTTGAAATTCTGGAAAGTATTTAAACATTCAAATTTTATTACCCCCTCTTCCCTGCCTCTGACATAGTCACTCTTTCCTGCTCTCTCTTGCCTCTCTCCATCTCTCTATCTCTCTTTCTTCCCTCCCTTTCTCTTCTCATTCTCCATCTCAGTCCCTCTTTTCTTAGCTTTTTTTTTTTCCTCTTCTCTTTATTCTCCTTTCTTATTCATGGGCAAGCTGTTTTAAAGGTCTAAAAATAAAATTGAAATTCCCTTGTATCTAGATAGTGTCCCATTAGGATTAGATTCTTAGATAAAGAAGGAAATAGCAAATTCCCTCCCTGTGCATTTGTGCAAAGGAAACAGGTTTTTCTTGTCACTACTGTGTTGTATCTGTCTAATGTGTTTTACACTCCCCTCTCTGTCTAGACAGAAGTCAGCTTGCATCACAAATCTTTTCAGACTGTTTTGTGAATTAATAGCTAGTCAGCTTACTTAAGACTAACATCCGTTTGTCATACTACCTGCCCTGGCCTTCTTTGACATTCTGACTTTACACTGATTGAATCCTTCAAAGACCAGTCTGGGGGTGGGGGATAGAGGCCTCATTTGACAAATGTTAATATCAGGCTCTTACTCAGCTGTCTGGAAATAGCCACAAACTGTACTGAGTTACTTCTATAGTGTTGTCTAATGGCATGCAAAATTAAAACCACAAAAAGTTGTTTTACTTGTTGGAAAATGACACATGTAAAAGTATGGTGTCTCCTACTTTTAGGATGAATATCTGCTAACCAGTGCGACCCATTTTGGGTCTTGTGTGGTATAGTACATGTTTTGATTCTGTGATTCAGAATGTAAAATAAATTATACCTAATCAAGTGTGCTAAGGTGCTGAGTTGTGGGAAGGCAATGGTGGAAATATTTATTGAGATGTCAGTAGATTGTATATAGTTAAAAATGCGATGCAAATTAGAATGGTGGGTTGAACAAATGTGTGTAGAACAGAAATAGGCTATACAAAGCCCATGGTTCCCAAATGGTGTGGTAATGTGCCTGGAGTACCTCTTCAATGGGGTGCTCTCACAGGTTTCAATGTGTTTGATGCAAACACATTGATATTAAACATCTGACAGATCTGACATGACTAGCTTAAAGTAGTTCAAAATTTCAACATTAGATCACTGTTCTTTTTTTTTATAACATCAAATGACATGAAATTATTTATAATTGCTGTGCGATTAAAAAAAACAAGTACCATATGAAAATATATGTAGAGTATGAAATTTCCAAATCAGGCTGTGTCCAAACTAACTTTAAGAGCAGTTGTGCAGTGCTCAATAAATGAACTAATCTATTAGAAAGTAATCTTGGTTATTTAAGGTAAAATAATTTTTTTTTCTTTCAGTGCATGTGAAGTTAGTACCTAACTTGTTCAGACAAACTTATCAAGTTCTTTGGAAATAACTAAGTAATTCATGGAATTATAGGCATATCTGTTGGCTTTAAAGAACACTATAAAAAAAATTACTGAAATACTTACTGTCCCATGATCTAGGAAGGTTTGGTTTAGTCTCTGGGAGGAGGGAAGTAGACTAAAGTCAATTTGAATGAACACCAAAGGGAAAATTGAGTGAACTGTAAATGTTGAATGCACCAACTTTCAGCCTTCTTCCTGCACTCACCTACAATGCTGGATCGTGAACTTTGCCTCTCTTGGCAGAGACTGAAGGACTCTTCTTGGGCAATCTGAACTTCAAGAGAGAGAGAGTTTAAAAAAAAAAAAGCATAGTTAATGATTTGGGAGTTTCTCCTCCAAAGACACCACCTAGATTATGCAATAAGAAAGCCAAAGTCGACAAGTTCCTCTCTTGTGCTCATAGCTTGTAATCAGCTCAGAACCATGCCAGACAAGCAGAAATAAAAGACATCTGAAGAACACATCTAACCTGGATGATAGAGAAGAAAACAAGCAACTCCCAGACAATAACTTGGAGAAAACAGACTTGCAATTAGAAAAAAAAAGCAAAATAAAGAAAACAATTTTTTTAAAAAATTGCCCTTTAATAATAAGATCAGTGTTCTAAGAATTAAAACTAAAAAATTATGTTTAAAAACGTTAAGTGGGGCATTTGGAAAATAAAGAGTTTTTGGAATAGAAAATTTGGTAAGAGAAGTGGAAGTTGACGAAATAGGCCACAGAGTACAGCAAAAAAGAAAAAAAAAAAAAAAACCCAAGAAGGGATGCAAGAGAGCAGATTAGAAAGT